CCTCAGCCTCCGGTAACCACCTTTCTATGCTATTTCTCCAAGGTCACCTCTTAGATTCCACATGGAAGTGAGATCATAAGGTATCTTATCTTTTTGTCCCTGGCTTATTTCACTTAGCATAATGTCCTACAGCTCCACGTACCTTGAAGTAAATGACAGAATGTTCTTGTTTTTAAAGGCTTTATAAGTTCCCTTGTGTATAAAGTACTTTTGAGCACCATATCTGTCAACAATGTACATACAAGTCTAGCCTTTGGCAAAACTGTACAATCAGAAAGTTTCCCTTATTTACCTCTTCACTATCTTTTCCACTCCTTTGTTCACTTCTGAGTGCCATGTTCTGTCCACAATATGAGGCCAGACAATATTTGTTTACTTGCATTATAACTGCTCTTTGCAAATGAAAATAAAGATCTGCAAACAATCCTTCATAGTTTGACTGAAACTCTTTACACATCAATGTATTTACTCTCTTGCATGTTTGCATTTTAAAACCTTTTATCTCATATTGTGGAATAAAAGAATTGCCTTTTGTTAACAAAAGGTAATTCAATAACTAGCTGAGGAAAGATCAGAAGACAGGCAAGAGAAAATTCTAGGTAAGCAATATAGTGATAAAATAAAGCTATTTCTGATGATAAAATTGCTATGGTCTTTTTTTTTCATGTTTTGACGTCAAGGGCAAGAGATAAAAGAGAGATTGTGTCTGGTATTATCATTTTTTTTCTTTATCTTTTTAACCCCAAGACTTGTAGATGTCAGGAATCTGATCATTTTCTCTGCCTATAGCTTGGATGTTTTGCTCTATCCGCTTTCTCATCATAATCACATAGCCAAGGGACTCACAATTTTGGCTGCTTCAAGTCATTGCAAACCCCTCAGGCAGATGAGGAAGCAGAGGCAGGGAATGTAGAGCAGCTGCTGAAGGAAAAGAATGGGAGATGGCTGGTGCAACAGCGTTTCCCAATCACGTATGATTACATGGAAACCTACATTCCGTGTGATGTCAGTTTTGTGCGCTGCCAATTTGCTACTAAAGTGATGTGCTACTAAAGCCATTCCTTTTGGGAAGTAAGATGATGAAAGAGAGGAGTGGCCACTACAGAAAGATGGTGAAAGAGAGGAGTGGTCACTACAGAAGAGCCTTACTTGTTGGGACATAAGAAGGTGCCTATCTGGGCTTTATGCATGTGTATGATTTTGCAATGATGATTGAAATGCTATCTGATATTAAGAAAAGCTTATTAAATGATGAAAAAACTAAATTAAAACTATAACCATGTTTTGCCTATGTAAAAGCAATAAGAATCAAAATAAATTATGGGAATTGCTTGATATTTTTGCCTAATCACCATGCAGCACAATAATGATTACACCATTGTTTTTGTCATATTAACTATGCTGTAAATTTAATTACAGCTCTAAATTCTAAATACTCAACCCATGTAATATACCGGTTTTAAACAATTACTTATTCAGTCTCTTCTATATGCCAGGCACCAAATTATATGGTAGAATGAGAATAATAAGACAATCCCTGTTCACATGGGGCTTACAGTCTTGTCAAAGAGAGGCAAGTACTAGATAATCGTGTAGCAGAGAAACTGGCAATAAACATATCTTTAAATGAAGGTAGGAACATGAGGACAATATCCACCCCACTCCGAGGAAGTCAGGTAAGGCTTCACTAAGGAGATGTCAGAGCTGATTCCTAAAGAATCAGTAGAGTTTGCCAGGAGAAAGGGAAGCATAAATTAGAACTCTCAAGCAAAAGGAACAGGAAGTGCCCTCGTCTCAGAAATGAGACACTGTGTGGACTGCTGAGAAACTGCACGGTTAGAACAAAATGAGTAAGAGTCCTGAGACAACGAGGCAGCTGAAGTAAGGAGCCAGGTCAAAAGAGGACTTGAGTATTACACTCACAGTGTGAAGTGCTGCAGCTCTTCTAGAATTTGTCTAGCAAATCCTGGTTTTCACTGGAAAACCCCCAAATTAAAAAAACAAGTGTGAAATTTTGCTGGTAATGGGGAACAATTGTAGGATTTCTGGAAGGATAACTGACATGATGAGATTTACATTTCAGATGCATCACTCTGGCTCCACTGTGGAGAATCAAGTGGTACAGCTCACAACTGGAGACATGTAGGGCAGTTGGGGGCCACTTAAAATCATGTCGTGACAATGCTGGTGGCTTACGTTAGGCTATTCAGGATGGAAAGAGCTGTATGAACTTGAGACACATGTAATAGGTACAACTGAGATGTCTTAGTGATTGATTGACTATGTGAGAAAGAGGGAAGTTGGAGATGGATTTCTGACTTAGGCAAATATATGGTGGTGTGGCATTTACTAAAATGGAGAAGAGAGGTGATAGAGGCAGATTGGTGAGATTTGTATTTTGATTTTTTGTTTTGTCAATTTGGTGAGCATTATTTCCCCTAAGAGAGAATTAGAAACTATGAGTTTTATCTTAATTATTTGAGTTTTATGTTTCTGGAGATCTCAGATAGGTAACTAAATATATAGGTCTGAGGCTAAGAGAAAGATCTGAGCTTAGACACCTATTTGGAAGATAGTCTAAGCTCACATACTGGGAGATACCAGTTGAAGTTATCAGATAGAGAAAAGGATCAACATCAGTAAGCTAAAGAAGTCCAAAATTTGTGGGATGAGTTCATGAAGAGCAAGTTAAAAGATATATGAAGAAGGCATAACTGAGAAGTAGGGAGAACCAGGAAAGCCTATGATCACAATGTCAAGGGAAGAGAATATTTTAAAAGGGAGCAAGCAGTAACAGAGTCCAGCGCAGCAGGGAGCGTAGATGGGTATGGAGCCTTTTTGGAGAACAATCCAACACAGCTACTAAAATATTTGATCCTCAATTCTACTTCTCAATATTTAATTTTTAAAAAATGCTAGTAGACCTGTCTGATGAGATATATTAAAGATAGTTTATAAAAGTAAAAAACAAAAAGTAAAAAATAGGTTAAAAAAAAGAATCAATGTAAATATCCAGAAATAGAAGACTGAAAAGGAATACAGTAGATCCTCTTGAATATCTCATATAAGTTAAAGAGAAAAAAGTAGACATACATGGAAAAGACTAAGAAAT